ATGGCTCTGCATCTACGTGGAGGGAAGTCTCGAGTGGAGTGCCACAGGGCTTGGTCCTAGGCCCGGTGTTGTTGAATGTTTTTATAAATGACCTGGAGGATGACATAGAGGGGATGCTTATCAAATCTGAAGATGACACGAAGCTAGGTGGGATTGCTAATTCTAAAGAAGACAGAGTCAGGATTCAAAATGATCTAGATTGGCTGGAACAGTGGGCTGAGACAAATAAAATGAATTTCAGTAGAGAGAAGTGCAAAGTACTACACTTAGGTACAAAACATCAAAGGCACAGATATAGAATGGGAGGGGCTTGGCTTGACAGCAGCACATGTGAAAGGGATCTAGGTGTTCTGGTTGATCATAAGCTAAACATGAGCCTGCAGTGCAATGTGGCTGTGAAGAAAGCTAATGCAATCTTAAGATGCATTAACAGAAGCATTGTGTCCAGATCATGGGAGGTGGTAGTTCCGCTCTATTCTGCTATGGTCAGGCCTCACCTGGAGTCCTGTGTCCAGTTTTGGGCACCACATTTTAGGAAGGATGTCGAGCAGCTCGAGTGTGTCCAGAAGAGGGCAACCAGGATGGTGAGAGGGTTGGAATCCAAGTCTTATGAGGATAGGCTGAAGGAGTTGGGTATGTTTAGCTTGGGAAAGAGAAGGCTTAGAGGGGACATGATTGCAGTCTTCAAGTATTTGAAGGGCTGTTATGTAGAAGATGGAGCAGATCTATTCTCTCTTGCTCCAGACTGCAAGACTAGATCTAATGGGTGAAAATTACAAGGGAGTCATTACCTGCTTCCTAACTGTAAGAGTGGTTGAACAGTGGAACAGTCCTTCTTGGGAGGTGGTGGATGCTCCTTCGCTGGATGTTTTCAAGCGGAGGCTGGATGGCCATCTTTCGGGTATGTTGTAGGTATGTAGGGCTATCTTTAAGCTATGCTCCTGCAGAGTGCAGGGGGTTGGACTAGATGACCTGCAAGGTCCCTTCCAACTCTAACATTCTATGATTCTATCACTTCTTTTTTCTGGCACCAGGGATATGCCAGGCCACTCTATTTTTCCACAATGGACACCCGCAGCCCAACCATCCAACACCTGGCTTAATCTCATTATACAAAAATACAAAATGTTTATTAGGGTGTACACATAACTAAAACATACAGTGGTTAAAAGAAATAGGCTAAGTTTCAGACTTAAAAGGCTTGTTAGTTATTATACAAATACAATGGATGGGTAAAATCTTTTGACCTAAGGACCATACACATTTCGGCCCCTTCAGGCCTTCCTCAGTGGTCAATATTCTTTATATTA